GGACAGTGGACATCTTTGGGTTAAATATCACTAACGAATCTGAAACTGTAATAAAATCAACCAACAATCAGGAATCAGGATCTATCTATCTATCTATCTATCAGTTATTGAAATTTGGAAAAAACATTCATGATGGCATGTTTCGAAAATAATATCCGATAATGTATTTCGCCGATATGGCTTCATCAGATGGATGTCAAAAAATCATTTTTCGCAATACTTTCATAAACGTTTTCCAAATGTCAATAACTTTATATATATATATATATATATATAGAAAGAACTAAGAACATGTAATTCAGGCGAAAACAATCGACCAGAATCTATCTATATATCTATCTATCTAGCTAGCTAGCTCAGGGGTCCAAAGAAAAAACCTCCGACACGAGTAAAGTGACAATCCGCGTAGGTGAAACCTAGATAGCTTTGCCTGGCTCTTTAGGTTCGGAGTTTATATATATATATATTTCATATTTTGCTTTGATAAAGTCCACACTGGACGAAACGCGTCAGCAATTACCAGTTTTCCTATTGTCATTTATATATATATATATATATGTATGTATAAGAAATGGATTAAATCCGACATATTGCTACTTTTAATTAATTTTCTTTAAATGCTATTTTTATGGTTACTCATATTCGAGTAAAAACGCTGTTTTTTTTTCTTTTTCTAATTAAACACCATTTTTTAAAAAAAATTGAACTATTTTTATCCAACTACATCTACCGCTCTGAATATTCGAGAAATTTAAAAAAAAAATGTGTGTATTCTGGCAGGATTTGAATCTGCACCCCCCAATATACATCATTGTATCTGACGTGCTTGACCGACAGGCCACCTAGGACTCCCTGTTAAACAAACACCTAATAGTGCCTTTTGGACACCCACTTCACTAAATTCAAGTTACCTGCTGCCTTCTAGGTCCTGCCTCTTTAGGCAAAAGCTGGAAGACGGTAAATGCAAAAACAAAATATCCATCTCCGAGAAGAAAGATGATGTAACGTCGACATCCCCGGCAAAAGGAAATGGCAAGGCATTACACTATTCTGCCTTGAATGTCACCATGAAATACAATTGTGAAGTAGCAACGCAAAATGCTGTAATGGAATGAAATGAATGATGAGTGAATAACACACCGACAATACAACCACACGCACATTACCTATTTTCCCATGGTGCTCAGCTTTTAGGGGATGATTGAGGAATTGCAGAGCCGAGTTCTAATTCCAGTCGAGTTCATTAAATTCGCTTACTTTCTAATAACCTTTAGAAAGGTATGAATCCATCTATTCTCCTGCAGCTTTGCTTAAATATCAAGAGAGACCGAGTTCTATAGCCTTGGGTAGCAACAAGTCTAGAGAACGAAAAACTCTGAAGTCAAAACCACTAACTATGCGTAATTATTAGGCTAGTCTGGGCTCTGTAGCCATGTTTGGGAACCGGACTAGGAGAAGGACAAATATGAATTCAAATACATAGTCTCTAAGACAGTTCGATGTTATATTCATTTTCGTTCTGTCAACTCATATGACGACGCCGGAGTTGTATTGGCATTGGCCTTTTTCTTGGACAACATCAGTAGCATGGAGATAGGAGACGTACTGCAGTGGTAACTGCCGATCCCTCATAAAAACCCAACCCAGATTTGTGTCATGGAGAGAGCATAAATCTTCGGGCGCAGATCCATGATCTCTCGAGACCGACGGAAGAGTTAATAATAATCTAATAATGTTGCATTTATTCTCATCATTTCGGACTTTTCTTAAGCCTTGTGAACGATGTTATATAAATATACAAGGACGAATTCAGCCAGCTTTCCCCCGACCGGCCAATGTCTACCCCAAATTGCGTTACCGTTTCGGTTTTCCTAAACAAAAACCGGGAAAGGCCTGCTGGATGTTCATATGAAAACGAACCCTATTTCCAGTATTTGTCCCGTCTGGGAAAGTAGGTAAGAAAGTGGCACTCGGAACAATTTCCGCCATGTTAGTTTAGCAGATCAGCTCTACCCTTCGACTCTTCTCCGCTAACAACGCTCTATTTGAGCATCACAACTGGCAATGCGAACGGATTGCATCAGAACTACCCAAGAGGCAATCTATTTCCCACTAAAGGAGGACCGGAACCGGATTCCCCAACCTCAACTATAACATTTAATACAGACTAGCAATCGGAAATTATCAATATCCAACTTGTCTCTTGACCTCAGAAGGTTTCGTATTTATATATTTGTTCGTTTGTTTCCCCTTCGGTCAAGTGGGTGCCGATTTCAAAGACCTCATCTGTCGGCTATAAACAGAAACACTTGGGATCAAGATAAAATCATACATTCCGATTCAATCTCGTTATCTCATACACACATTTTCACAACAACTGACTGATTTCTCAAACTATACAGATTCGCATTAACCTCACGTGTTCTTCTATGATTTCCCTAACATTGTCGTAAATATGTTATTTGAATAAGCTTTCAGAAACATGACATTCACATTAATCCTCTATCTAAACAGACAGCTTTCTGATATATAAATATTTCCCATGATGCATTGAGTTCTTATTTCTTTCGTCTAAATATTCTCCTACACTGTCTGCAGAAAATAAGCCGTATTTGCGCTAGTCAGAGATCTGTCTTCTAATCAGATTAGGTTTTGACCCTGACCAAAAAATTCCAATGCGTCATTTCTTTATCTATATTTACTTTTGTACAAAGCACATATACTGGAAAGCCACCTGTCTTCCTAATTCTTCTAACCCGCTGGCTCTGTTGTGAATGCTATTCATTACTGTACAGAACTCACCATGGTGGAACTCAGAGTATATGCAGTCGTACGGTGTTCGCGTCTTTTTGTATCGAAATATCTGAAGATATAGAGTTCGGCAGATCAATATTCCTCGCTTCGACTGCTACGTCTCGCTTTTCCCATTATGGCTTCAGTTAACTCAGATTTTTAGAAATTTGTTTACGTACTTCGGTTTCTGCTTTTGCAGAAGTAAATAGCGGTCTGAAGCCCATTCAGTGTCTGATATAGTTGCCAATCATAGGCAGTGGATGAGCTATAGGGTTATATCGAATACCGCCTCAATCTAATAATAGCTGGGATATCTACAGGCATATTTTATAGGTGCCAATCATAGGCAGTGAATGAGCTGTAGTGTTATAGCAAATACTGCCTCAGTCTCATAACAACTTGGTATTTACAGGCATATTTCACAAGCGAAATGTAGCAACTATTTCGAAAAAAAGCGGCAATAAAAAAATGAACGTACGTTATCTCATTATTGCTGAACAAGGTGAGAATTAATGGTTTAAGCTGGTGTTAAGTCAATGTGAGACACTCAAGGTAGATCGTTCATGTGAAAGTGCTATAATAATAAATGTTCTGTGTGATATGAATGAAAGAGATATTTGCGTGTAGGTAAAATTATGACGATTACGAGATTCGTACATGTTCCTATCAATTTCTATACTCAATAAAGAAAAGATTACTGGGTTACTATGTGATATTCATCTTTTTATATGGTAGAGAATGCTGGACAATCTCCTCGGAGATGAAGAGAAAACTCAAGGCTACAAACCCCCTTTCCATCGTATTCGAACTGTTTGTTCCTCTGGCTTAACAAAAGATGCCTTCATGTAAAGTATAATGAGATAAGAAATTTACCCCCAGAAAGAAAGTGTTGAACAACTACGTAAATGCTGAACAATTTTCGGGATGACGGCCATATGACGTTGAAACACTGTTTCTCGTACGATCACCGAAGTTAATGAATGTCGAGCCTGGTCTGGTGGCCGCTTGGGAATATCAGGTGCTGTAAGGTTGGATGTGCGAGTGGTGCAATCAATAACGTCTCGGAATTGGAAATCCGAGAGCAGAGTTCCTATTCCAGTTGGTTTTGTTATATTAACTTACAAGCAAATACGCTTGGGTAAATGTATGAAATCACATCATCTCAGCCACCCACCAATGGGTTAATTTGTATTACTGGCATCAGTAAATCCCTGTTATATCCAAAAGATTATTACAATTTAAAATATATTTTCTGACTTTAAATAGCCGACAAAAGTTTGATAAAAATCAACTTAATCTGTAAGTGCTACCCAGCTTTTCTCAAAGAACTGTTGCTTTGTGGAACCGACACTCGCGTAGATTCTTTTCTAATCATTACAATCTTAACCCCTTCAAGTCAACGGTCAGTCGCACATCTATCTCCCCTACCCTTATAATTTTTACTTCTGTGCTCTGCTCTTAGATTCATATTACCCCCACCAAAAAAAAAACAAAACAAACTGTTTAGTCTTATCCTAGACTATGTTCCGTGCATATACAAGCACAGATTTGAAGAGATGGGCACTGATCAATTCCCTACTACATCCTATGCGAATCTACCAAGAGAAGACAATGATGCGGCGTTCTCTTTCGAGGGAATTTTACTGTTGACGAGTGAGAAGTTTATGCTGATGACATAGGTGTTCTTAGTTGGGATAATAATGATCTTGAAGAAAAAAACAACATCCTCTACCAAGTGTTCCAAGAAATAAAACTCAAGATAACCCTTTCCAAAAAAACTATGATCTGGAATTGAAATAATGATGATACAAATCCTGAATCTATCATAAAAATCAAGGATATGAATTTAATAAATACATAAACCACATCACCCCGGCACATTCAATAGCAGCAACAATTAAAATAGATACCACATGAAATTTCAGTTTTTATTGATTGATCCATTTTCTACGGTTTATCAACCCTTTGCGAGTTATTTAAAACTAGAAAATATTTTTAAATTGTAAGAATTTTGGCGGAGATAATTATGATTTAGTTATACAAGTCTTACTGATTAACCCATAGCTGGGGTAGAAGAGTAGCATTCATGACTTTCCCTGGAGTTTTTGCGTGTAACTGAATATAACGAACCCAACTGGAATTGGAACACAGCTCTTCGATTAACAATTCCGAGTCCTTATCCAAGAAACCATCGGATATCTAAGCTTCCATTACCTGGCATTCCCAAACAGTCACCCACTTAGGTACTGACTAGGCACGACGTTGCTTAACTTCGGTGATCGAACAGGAACCAGTGTTTCAGCTTAATGTGGCCGTAACCCTCGCATGTAATTTGAATCGAAAATTATGACATAATCAAGATGCCACACTGCTTCAGATAAAAGTTTAGGAAGGAAGTTTTCATCGGTAGTAGAAAGAGCAATAATAGTTAGTGGATTTAAGAAAGCTATTTCCCGATCTTTTTTTAATGAAAATACATTAAAAATTTCAACCGGCAGTAGCACTGGCTGTGTGTGAGTGGGCGCTATTATGTGAGTATGTGTGTGTGTTGAGTGTGTGCTTGTGTATCTGAGGAATATTGAGTCCTAAAGTGATATGGTAAATTGTCGGATGCCATAAACCTTTCTGATCTCCATTAATTAAAACAAGAATTTTTATATACAAATCCTTGAAATTATCGCCTTATTAGGCTCTTACCTCTTTCCTGCAAAGTACTTGAAGTTCTAATCAGTGTCGAATTGGTTAAGCATCTTACTTTTCAGGATCTCCTTTCGTACAAACAATATGGTTCTGTTTCGCAAGGTCTACCGCCAACGTATTAACGGCCATCACTAAATTTATTTATCACACTCTAGATAAGAACGGCAAAACACGGGTTGTGGCCTTCGATATCAGAAAAGCGTTCAGCAGGCTTTGTCATGCTGGAATTCTAAACAATCTTAAGGGCTACGGTATCACGGGGTGAATATTAGGTTGAATCTTTCCTTACAAATCGTGTACTCAAGGTTATGTTGGACGAGCTAGATCTGTTTATACTAACGCGGGAGACCCCCCAGGACTCTGTCCTTGGACCTACTTCTATTTCTAATCTTAATCAATATCCTCTTCGATGTCATCAGTTTCCAATTAGGCATTTATGCAGATGACACTAACATTCATTCCTGTCTCAGTAAAAAATCCAACAGATCTGAAAAGATAAAACTGTCAGCAGCTTGTGAAACGGATCTCCAAATAATGCCGGAAGAAATGGCTTGTAATTTTAAGTTTTTTAAAACAAAACTGCTCATATTTAATCATCACAGAGAACCTTTTCTTTCTACCTGTCATTAGTATGAGTGATGCTTTAACTCTAGAAGAGCAACTGGTTATACCTTCTTGGGTTCACGTTTTCCACTGACAAGAATTGCTACGTGTATTGCAAGTTGAATTGGATTACTGTGTTGTGTCAGACTTTTTTTTTTTCTCGTCAGAGTCCATCTTGCACATTTATAAATCTTGCATTCGTCCGTGCATTGAATACTGTTGCCATATCTGGTCTGGTACCTCAGCTGTACATTTCCGGATTCAAAGAAGAATCTATAATATAATCGATACTGACTTGGGTATCTCGACTTCAGTCACATTCTCACCGACGTGACATGGCTTTCCTCTGTTTTTGCTACAAAATATTTTCATGGCAACTTCTCTTACGAGTTATATATATATATATATATATATATATATATATATATAAGAAACGGAAATCTTGGTAATCCATATGGATAATCCAAAGGAGGATGAAATCCTGAAAGCTCAATGTTAAGTCAGCGAATAATTTAATTTAAATGAAAAACAGACCACTTTAAGGCTTCATAGTAATAATTTATTTCACCAGAGAATTTGGCTTTTTATCTGGATCCTCAGACAGACGAAACGAAAAAATGAATTTAAAATTTACACTTTTGACGAACAGTATTAAGCTTATATAAGTTGAATTTAGAGAGTGATGAGTAATGGTGTGAGAGACATGGTCGAGCTTATATATATATATATATATATATATATAATGTTTACTGCAATGAAAGCTGGGTGACTGTGTCGTGCCAGAAAAAACTTTTCTCATTAGAATGCATCTTGCACATTTACAAATCTAACATTCGTCAATGCATTGGATACTGTTGCCATATCCAGTCTGGTGCTCCTGATGTGCATCGTGAGATGCTTGGCAACATCCAAAGAAGCATCTGTAATGTAACAGATCCTGACCTGGCATCTCGACTTCAGTCACTTTCCTGATGTAGGTTTCCTCTGTCTTTTCTACAAATATTTCAATGGCAGCTGTTCTACTGAGCTTTTTCGTTTCGTCCTTGGTGCCTTGACTACATCAATATAAGCGTGCTACTAGAATGGCAACAAGCTCTCACTCTAACAATTTTTTTCTCGCATGTCCCACCTGTGGGGCTGCCTTCCTATTTTAAGCTTTCCCGTTAAGTACAATCATTTAAAACGTTAAGTACAACGTTAATCGCTATCTCCCGTCTTCTTAAACCCTGTTCCTTTTTCTCCTTTCACCAATTCTCCCGTTCTCAGTCTTCTTCTCTTTCCGTTTCGCTCTCTGTAACGCTCCTTCGTTCTAGAGGTATCATCGCATTGCTTGAGGTGAAGCGATTAAATAAAATTATTGCTACAATAATTATTACACTTTTTACTTTCATGCAATTGTTCAGGATTAAAGGAATAATGAAATAAAACATCATATTTATTTTTATTAACTGAGAACTTGGAATTCTATCTCAAGGGAGGTGCTTAAAATCACTTCATATGTTAAATCGTGGCTATTTCATTTGTAATGTTCAAAGTCTTGAATTTACAATTGTTATTTCAATTAAATAGATTATCGCGACACTAACATAATGTGTCAAAACAGACTTAAATTATGCCAACTTAAATAATAAGTCCTAGATTAACCCAGAATTATTGATAAGTGATTTTCAACGGAGAAACAATATCTCTTATACTATTTATGAATTTAGAATGTGTTGCTCAGAGCTTTATTGTGTCTACGGGATTAGAATCTTTATGAAAACTATTTGTATTCGTGTATATTGTGTATTAAAGAAACGACTTGAAGCAACAGAAATCTGGTTTTAAAAAAAAGGATGCTGAGTATCCCATGAGCCGAACATGTGAGCAAAGACGAAGTTTTAGAGAAAATGGATACCAAAAGGACACTTATACTTAACAAGAGAAAGAGACTGTTGAGGTTTCTAGGGCATATAATGAAAAAAAAAGTCTTATACTCCCAGAACATATTGAAGGCAAGATGGAGAGAGGAAAACAATGTATAAGATATTTAGTGAACTTGAGTAAATGGATGGCGGAACAAGGTTTAGGACAAATAATAGTAAGACAAAATTTATTAAAAGTTAAAAAAAAACAGCAGAAAGTTGTGGAGAGTCATGGTCGGTCACATCCTGATGGCACACAGCACATAAAGAAGGAAAAAAGAAAATAGGCCTTCTGGAATGATACTGCTTATAAATAAAATGTATGATAAGTAAGACGAAGGGAAGAAAGATACAAACAGAAACAGAATCGAATATACTATAATCTATATTAATATGTGAGTATACAGTTTGTGTGACTATGCATGGTATGTATGTGTCCGTGCTATGACCATGCTCAAACAACAAGGCATATTGATATATTTATTTTAGGTGCATTTATCTTACTTTTGTTATTTTTTTGTTTCGTTTTATTTTCAATAGGAGTAGATAGGCTAACCTATCGTCCGGTTCACACTAGGTCTGTTGAACAGGAGTAGATGTTTATCCCGTGTTTCCAGTTTAGGATTAAGTTTCTGGTCCTTTCAGAAGTTTTTTTTTTCTATTCTCTTTCATTCCCAGTAATTTTTATTTCTTTCATTCCCGTCTTAGTGGCATTAATTTATAGAACAATGCATATATGTTTTGTTATTTTGGGATTGTCAGTCTAGATAACCACAAGACGGTAAATTGCGTCGTTTGCTATTTCCAGCCAAATGAAGCAATCTATACAAACGTGGGATGAGGAATTGAGTTTCATATAAAGAAGAGAATGTTTCTTTTTAATTTCCCTATTTTGATGGCTTATGAGAACAACTTTGACCCCAAGACAAAAGGATATAATATTAAAGCGTAAAATATTTTATTTTTTGTATTTCGTTTGTAAAACGTTGTTGAACCCTAAAGAAAATTCCCAATGAAATATTCGAAAATTTCAACCTCCAGTTGTTTTTTTTTTCAGTGAATGTTTTCTTTGTGTCTGCGTCAAGATCATGTTTAAACAATAAGGCCAATTGATTTTCTTTTTTGTTATAATGATTCACAAGATCTCTGGCCAAAATATACGTTTTCTGAAGTTGGGTTGGGGTAATTCTAGGTTGCCACAAATCATTAAAATGCACCAAATTCCCATTTCAAGTCAAAAGAAATGGTCAATACCATCTTGGAATACATATTGAATTTGCTATTAAGTACGAAAAAGTATTTTTTTTTATTCTCACAATTTGCACGGCGAATACGATCAAATTAATGGAGATCTTTTTGTTCTTTATTGCAGCTAAATACTTGGTAAATGAGGCTAAGTTAACGAAAAAAAAAACAGGAAAAGCGGCAATGACCTCCATAGCTTCTAAAATTTTTAGTATATGTTTATTATTTTCATGGATAAGTATAGACTTATTTTCAACAAGAACACCAACATTGTATGTAAATTTAAATAACCTCTGGGAAAAACGGAAAAAAATAGTATTTATGTTGGCCACACTATGGCGACATTGTCTTGGCGGTTGAGTTTTCATTTGAATGATGCATTCCTCATTTCTGAAACATTTACTACATCATAACTATTGACATTCGCAATTCAAAAAAATTCTTGTTGAAAATATATCTCACTGTCCACCTGAGAGTTGACTTAAAATAAGTTGTAATAATTTTTTTACGGTGGGTGGTGGGTGGGTGATAATAATTGTTTAGTGATATGTCTTACTAATTGAGCCATAGCTCGGGGAGAAGAGGTGGATTCATAATTTTCTTAGGGGTATTTGCGAGTAACTGAATATAGTGAACCGAAAGGGATTTGGAACTTGGCGATTAACAATTCCGTGTTGTTATCTATTACACCATCTGCACATCCAAGAATACAGCATCTAGTATTCCCAAGCGGTCACTCATCTGGGTAGTGACAAGGTTTGATATTGCTTAACTTCGTTGATCGGACACGAACCGCTGCTTCAGCGTAATATGGCTGTAATCCTAACAAATATGAAGGCAGTCGTCCATGTTTAAATAGTGTAAA